GACCAATTCTGGGACCAGGGTGAGGCCTGGGAAAATCAGGGCTATTATGTTGGGTAGGCAGGAAAGGTTTTGGTTTGTGGGTTCCCACACCCCAGTATTTGTAGTGAATTATTACTCAGGTAGCCATGACCCTTTGTGGGATGATACCAGAAATAGGCCCACTCTTTTATCAGGAAGAAGCCTGGCTTTATGTTTAGCTTTTAACACGTCTTGGATGAATAAGTTGTTGGTGCTTGGCTGTCGGCCAGCCATGCGTCATCCTCTCTGGCAACACAGCCTCTTTTATAGAGGGAGACGCTGACGTCAAATCATGTTTCCTGGGCCCAACACCCTTTGATGGTCACACGCTTGACCAGGCTGGTGGTCCCTGAATCTGCTGACCAGACTCACATGAAGACCGCAGTCCACTCTTTGGTAAAACCCAGACTTGATCTGGTGATGCCTCTGCTTAAAAATCCACTGTGATATTTTACTACAATTTTAAAAAGGGCAGAAAACAAAATAAAACAAACAACACCCCATCTCCATTTATTTCTCCCTTAGAGGCAATTTAATCAGTTTAACATATTTTAGCTGATTATTTAGGTATTTACATCTGTGACTCTAGTAGCACCTTTAGGATTCTCTTTGTGTAGTATCATATCATCTGCAAACAGTGACAATTTCACTTCTTCTTTTCCAATTTGGATTCCTTTAATTTCTTTTCTTTCTCTGATTGCCGTGGCTAGGACTTCCAAAACTGTGTTGAACAATAGTGGCGAGAGTGGACATCCTTGTCTTGTTCCTGATCTTAGAAGAAATGCTTTCAGTTTTTCACCATTGAGAATGATGTTGGCTATGGGTTTGTGGTATATGGCTTTTGTTATGTTGAGGTAAGTTCCCCCTATGCCTACTTTCTGGAGAGGTTTTATCATAAATGGGTGTTGAATTTTGTCAAAAGCTTTTTCTGTATCTACTGAGATTATCATATGGTTTTTATCCTTCAAATTGTTAATATGGTGTATCCCATGGATTGATTTGCGTATGTTAAAGAATCCTTGCATTCCTGGGATAAACCCCACTTGATCATGGTGTCTGATCCTTTTCATGTGCTGTTGGATTCTGTTACTTCTGTGACTCTAAACAGTAGGCTTTGTGTGGCTACTTCTTGACTTTTTAGTTTTAGTTCTTTTTTTTTTTTTTTTTTTTTTTGTGGTCCGCCGTCCTCTCACTGTTGTGGCCTCTCCCATTGTGGAGCACAGGCTCCGGACGCGCAGGCTCAGTGGCTATGGCTCACGGGCCCAGCCGCTCCGCGGCATGTGGGATCTTCCTGGACCGGGGCACGAACCCGTGTCCCCCGCATCGGCAGGCGGACTCTCAACCACTGCGCAACCAGGGAAGCCCTAGTTTTAGTTCTTATCTGCGGACACCCCCTGTGGAAGATGAGGTTTTAGTCTCCTTCCTCCTGTGTCCTCCTCCATCCCCGTCCCTCCCAGCAGGACCGCGTTTTAGTCAGTGTTCGGCGTTTACACTGTTACAGCTAGGATAGCTCTATTCACAGCCATGCTGTCCAGGGAACGATGAGAACTTTTGTTTTTTGTGGTAGAGAATTCTTCAAGCATTGCTGACAACAGGCATGTGGTAAGTAAATTGAGACTCACACGAGAAACCCACCCTGTCTCCCATTGCGTGTGGGATAGAGTTCAAAGGCCTCAGTGTGGCCCACGTGCCTTTCCCTCCTCCGTCCCACCAGCCCTCCCACCTGCCACCCTTCGTTTTGCTGCTCCTTCGATGCCCCCTCCTCTGTCTGATGAAATCCTCCTTCATCCAAGGCCTGGCTGGAATGGTGCTTTCTCTGGGTGTGTCCTTCCTGGTTGTGTGTTCACTGCAGTGTGTAGACTGAGGTCTTAGTACTTATCACACTGCAAGGTGCTTATTTATTTACCGCTTGAGTTTAAATCTTGGCTGTGCTGTTTCCCAGCTTTGCGACCTTCGGCAAGCTACCTAGTTGCTTCGTCCCTCAGTTTCCCTCTTTGTAAAATGTGTATAACAACCATAGCACCCACAGGGGACTATACTCAAGATTTTGTAATAACCTATAATGGAAAAGAATCTGAAAAAGAATAGATATACATGTATAGCTGAATCACTGTGCTGTGCACCTGAGCTGTACACCTGAAACTAACACAACATTGAAAATCAGCTATACTTCAATTAAGAAAAAAAAGGAGCAACCATAGCACCTACCTGGTAAGGTTGTTAGTGATTGCATATGCTGATGGAATGAAAGCATCTGTAAGTGTCTGCCCCAAGGGAAACTGTCCATCTGTTCCCTGTACCTGCCTCATGCAGGCAGGTGGCTTATATTCACTGGTGCCCAGAATAGCTCTGGGCAAATCAGAAGTCTCTGAGGGCCTGGTAGGGGAGCTCAGTGAGTGAAGCAGGCTGGGTGTGGCTCAGGCACAGGATGTGGGGACTGGAAAGGACAGTCTCCAAGGGGTGTCTTCTCCTTTACTTCTAGCCAGTGGTTGCCAAGTAGGAATGGGGTCCCAGTTTTGCCAGATCATCTGATTTAAAAAAAATTTTTTTTTTTTTTTACGAGAAATGTGAGCATCCGCATTTAAAAAAATATACGATTTTTCCTGACATTTAGTACATAGCGTAGCGGCTGAAGGCCCTAAGCCTGTGGGCCCATAGGCCACTGGTTTGGGGCACAATTCTCATTTCCCAGAGGAGGTGCAGAGTGATGGCGTGACCTGCCCTGGGTCACACGCTGACTGATTTGGCCCCTGGTGTTCCCACCTGTGGTCTGGACGTGGTGCTGGCCCCTCCCCCGCCAGGGTGCTGAGTGGGAGGATTCAGCCGTGTGTGTAGGTGCGTCTGCCAAGCCTCTGCCCACATGGGGTAGCAGGTTATTCCCGCCCTCACGTCAGCTCCCCCTGCCTCAGAGCCACCCCCTTCGTGGTGTTTAATAGGATTGTGGGTCTCTTTTTATGCCGGGGGAAAAAAAATCATGTGCATTTATTGAATACCTGCCGTGTGCCCAGGAACTAGTAGGTATTTCACGTTTGCATTCTCTCTTATTCCTTCCAACAGCCCTCCCTATGAGATGGAAAGTCACCATTTTATAGGTAATAAAAATTATTCATGAGGAAGTTACCTGATGGGGGCCTCACAGAAAGAGGTTTAACCAGGATTAGATCCATCTCTCTGATACAAATCATGAGCTCTAGACAACATGTTACCTCCCACGTACAGGAAGTCAAGTCTAACAGAAGCTCGGTGGAGCTTTGCTCGTCCCTGGCAGCCTGCATGCATCTGTGGCGCGTCCTCTGGAGGACAAGCCTAGTCTTGTTCTGTCTTCGGCAGCTGTAGCTGTAGCACGTGACTGCAGGCCTGGCCAGATAGGAGGGAAGGCAGAGAAAATTATGATAATGAGGAGGATACAGGCCTGGGGGAAGCAACCAAGGCCTCTGTCAGAAGTAGGATGGGACTCAGGAGCTGAGAAGCTCCCATACAAGACAAAGGCCATGTCTTCATATGCTGCAGCCCTGGCACTTGCAAACCCATCTAGAAAACCCACGGTATGAGATGATGGGGGGAAGGAAATTAGAAGTGATCGGGGCCTTCCTCACCCCCATGAGCCATCCCGTTGGCCCAAGAGGCCCATATAGTTTTATGTTTAGAAATAGTTTTCAGATAGTGAGGCAGCCCCTTTGTAGCCAACGGAGCACACGTGTTTTACCAGCAGTGCGGCCGGCTGCTCTTGGGGCCGCCCCATGGCTCGTGATCATGTGTTGTTCCTCCTTCCCTGGGCACCCACTTCCCCTCTCAAATTCACGCACACACCCCGAGGCATGGCTGTGACAGGCCAGTGCCAGAGGGCAGAGGAGTAGAGGGGAGGGACGTGGGGTCTCTGAAGCCCTCACCGACCGTCCAACGTGTCCTCCTAGACCTGGGACTAAATGTTGTCTTTTTAATTTTTTTTCCTCCTTGTGGCATCCATGGATCTGGTTTCCTGACTTTCACAAAGTGGTTAACCCTGGAACCGCCCACCTGCCTGTTCTTCTCTCCCAAACTCTTATCCCAGCCACCTTGCTCCTGGCATCTCTGGGAAGGGTGGCCGCCCTTATCTCTAGTCATTCTCCGCATTCCAGACGTCCAGCTTCCTTCAGTCTCTGGAAAATGCCACACTACTCCCTCCCCCCACCCGGTGGGCGCTGGTCTGCCGCCTGCTCTGGACTCAGTATTTTCCCTCCTCCCCAGGTGCCCATCCATGATTCAGGCTTCTGTGCAGATAGTAACCCCTGGAAGTTTCCTGCGAGTCTCCCTCTAACCTCGCCCCCTCCCCCCGCCCGCCTGACCTGGCCTGGTGAGGTTCTCTGCCCTGGGTTCCACGGCACCTGTACTGGTCCCATCCTGGCTCAGACTCGCTGGGATGGGCTGTAAATGCCTCCCTCACCCACCAGACTGGAAGTGCCCTGAAAGCAGGGACCAAGCCCAAGGCCTAGCACAGGGTCTGGCATGTGGGAAAGCTGTACCCGCTGTCTAGTGTTGACCACGTCACATGGGTGGGGACATCATGGGAGTGTAGCAAATGGTGCCGTCATTAGGGAGTGAAGCTGCCAGGGGTGGCCGGACTGGGCATCTTCCCCTGGATGGAGCCTTTCAGTCTAACCTGCACTGTCCAGTGAGGTAGTCACTGGCCACATTGTTTAAATTTAAACATAGTTACTTAAAATGAAATAAGTTAAAGACTCAGTTCATCAGTCTTGCTAGTCAGTGTCAAGTGTTCAGTAGCCATGTGTTGCTGTCGTACTGACCAGTGCAGCTCATAGGACACTCCAGCATCGTGGAAGTTTCTCTTGGATGGTGGTGCTCTAGACACCGTCTTGTAAAGGCATGAAATCAGGGGCTTGTAGGCCGAGTGGAGGCCCTTCTGGGTGCTTCCGGTTAAGTAAAGCAGATTTCCACACGTTCCTTCTTAAGCCTGAACTGTGTCCTCAATTTCCTGTCTGCAGGACATTCGTCAGAAGTTCCGCTCTGTTCTGGTTGAGGCAACGGTGAAACTGGATGAGCTGGTGAAGAAAATCGGCAAAGCTGTGGAAGACTCGAAGCCCTACTGGGAGGCACGGAGGGTGGCGAGGCAGGTAAGCTCTCCTACTCTGCCCATCACCCCGCCCCATGCCGTGGGCGCACCTCCTGCTGCAGTTCAGGGGCACGGGACAGCCGTGGCTTTGTCCACAGGTGCGTTTGGAGTCAGCCCCTTGTTTTCCTCCCCGCCACAGGTTGCTTTCACTCCCGCTCTTGGTACTGTTAGTAGGGTGAGCGTGCTGGCATTTGGATGCCCCTACCGGTGGGCGCTGCCTTGCTGCTGGAACTGGTTCCCAGGTCCACCTCCCAGGCGGCCGGACCAGAGGCTGTGCTTAGAACATCGGGCTTGTCCTCCGCCCTCCCTGATGACTGCCTGTCGGGCAGCAGGAGGAACACTCCCTCCCTCGTATTCTCCTCCCTGGTTTGGGAGAAATTAGCCACCTGCTTCTCTTGGAACACTGGTTCTTTGTCCTGAGAGCCCAAATAGGCAACAGAGGGACCAAGACCAGAAGAGGGGCGGCAGAGGGGCTGTGGTCAGGCAACTGCCGGGGCTGCTGGTTTCAGAGCGTCTTCCTTGGATCGTCAGCGATGTGAGGACTTCCCAGCCAGAGATGCAGGCCCTGTGAATGGGAAGGTAAAGCGCTCCCAACACATGGTGGTACCTGCTGTGTGTCAGGCCCTGGGCTGGGGGCTCTCACACCCCTTGGCCCACGCTGGGGCTTCCTGCTCCGGTGACTCTTGAGCAGCTGGTCCCGGTTGAGTTCCTGTCCCTGCTGTGTGTTATGTGACAGAAGATGCTGTCGCCTCCCAGGGTCTCTACCTGTAAGCAGATGCTCAGTGAGTGCAGGTACCACGGCAGGCCCCCACTGTGTGTGCGCAGTGTGCTGTTGGGCTGGGGCGGTTGGGGGGAGGCGATGGGAAAGCGAGCCCTTGGGAAGCGAAGCCCCAGGAATGTGTTAAGATGGGAGCCATCGAGGATAAGGGGCCAGGACTTGGGCATTCCTCTTCCTTGCCCCGCTCCGTGCACGCCTCAGATTTCTCATCCCCTTGACGCTTTGGTGGTTCTGCCGAGATTCTAGCTACGTGTTTGGGTTTTGCACTCTGAATGCTGAACTGAGCTTTCTGGTTGGAACCTTCCAGATAATGTGGCCTTTGTTCCTAGACAGACCAGCTGCCCGAAACCCTTCCTTCCCTGTCCTGCTGCCCTGGGCTGTACAACATCCAAGTGCACATGACTTGTTGGCTTGCAACAAGCCTGAGCAGCCGTCCTCTCCGCCTCCCTCTGGGCCCCACCCAGGCTGCAGCTTCTAGAGAGAAGGAGCCCTCCTCCAGAATGTGCTCACCAGCCCCCAGAAGCTCCCCAACCCTAAGGCATCCTCCCTCCAAAGTGCCCTGTGCCACAGCCTTCAAAGTGCCCCACGTTGGTGATGTGTCTCGCCCACCATAGCCCAGGGTGGTAATGGTCTTGACCTTGCAGTGAGAAGGGTTCTGGTTAGGTTTGAGGAGAAATTTCTGATAATTTAATGTAAACATTGGGTCAGTGCTGAGGAGGTCATGAAACCTCTTCTGAAAGTCTTCAACACTTGAATTTATGGTCCCTTTGAGGACACAAATATCTTTATAAAAACATCCATGTCCCCATGCTGTGGGGTGATTTCATAGTGGTCTGTGAAAGCATCCTCTTGGAGCCTCGGCAGTGGCTTCGCCATGGGAGTTTCCCCACTGGGTTGCCTGAGCTCAGATTTTGGAGCAGAGCTGGTAAAGGGACCTTTGTGTTCAGGGGCCTCTGGAGGTTGGCCGTTTAGCCACCAGCCCCAGCTGATGGGCCTTACCCTCCTTTGGGTGAACGGATGTCATATATGCTCCTACCTCAGAGTCTTTGAACTTGCTGTTCCCCCCGTTTCTTTTTGTCTGAACCATAGGATTTGCACGGTCCACTCCATCTCCTTCAGCTTTCTGCTCAGATGTCACTTTATCAACAAGGCCTTCCTGGGCTAACATTTAAATGACAACTGCCAGCCCACCATCTCTGCCACCCCAGCCCTCATTCCTTGATTGGCTTTTTCTTCATAGCAGTTCTCACCCCCGACCTCTTATTGTTTACTTGTTTATAGTAGTGAAACTCCACAAATTCCCAGACAGGGAATTTGGTCTGTTTGGGTCATTGCCAGCATACAGAAGGTGTTCACGTCTTGAGGAAACAAACAAATGAACCAATGAGTGAATGATGAGGTTGACCAGATGTTCCTCCCGACCTTCCGTTGGCATCCCGAGCTTCCCTCTCCATTGCCGCTTTACTCACAACTTCTTCCTTGCAGAGGGATAGGAGCGTGACTGGCAAATCCAGCTTCATCTGGGTTGGGTTCGTTCGAATCTCATTTGGTGGGTGGGCTCCCAGTTGGCTGTGACACACCTGGAATAGATTTCACACCGCTCCCTTTTTGTTCCTCACCCCAATCCTCTTTGATGGAAAAAGAGGTAGGAGGGAGCTATGTTGGGAGGGTCCCACTGCTGGGCAGCAGTGAAGTGTGGCTTTGCACCTTCCTCTCATCTCTTGGCCAGTGAGGACAATTACTGTGCAGTTACTGAGTCCCGTGGGCAAGCCACTGAGGCATCAGGCCTCATCAGGTGATACAGACTCTGGGGCTGAGTGACTCTCCGTCAGCTGGCAGAGCCCAGGATGAATGTTGAGGGAATCCTGCCTGACCTTATGCCTGCAACTCCCCCCTTAAACTCCTGCCTTCTCGCAGGTGGGCAGGAAGAAGGGTAGAAAAGGCTCAGAGTGACCCCTACCCCTTAGCCCCAAGGGACCTTGTTGGTCTCTGGCCGAGGAACCGGAAGGGCGCTCAGAGGCTGAGGCTGGGTGAGGATGTTACTTTTTATCTCTGCAGACGGTGGGCCGTCTGGGCTTGGCCAGGAGGCTGAGTCTGTCTCTGACCTTCCTGGTGGTGAAGGGGGCGGGGCCTCCCCCTAGCTGCTGCCAAGTGGCGCTTCCTGTTTTCTTCCTCTGGTCTTACCCCCACCCCTTCCTTTCTATATATACAAATCCCTCTGACTGTGTGTAGCAGGGATAGTCTCTGAGAGATGCCTTCAAAGCGTCTCCTCCAAGTGTGTCTCGTGAGGCACTGCGTTCTCAGAGCCTCAGCATCCTCGTCTCTGTGGAGACAGTGATCTGAAAACAGTGAAACAGTGATGGTCATGGACCGTGAGAGTCCTGAGGTATCCTTAGGACTTAAATGAGCTAATGTTTGGTGATGGGATCCCGGTAATGATCTTAGATTTTGGTTTCACTAAAAAAAGATTGTAGAAAATTCAGAAAATAGACAAAAAGAAGAAAATAAGTCCCCATACCTTCTGTTAATATTTGATGTATACCTCCTTTAAAAAAAAAAAAAAAGAGGTAATACTGTAGTGATGGTTTTATAATGTCTGGAGAGCTCCTGTCCATCCATCCAGAGTCTCAGCGAACAGCGGAGACTTCAAAGGAAAAGACTTCTACGGCTTGGTTTTCCATAAAGCGTTTACAAAGACTTGTGATTGTTGGGCCAGTAGGAATTGTGTCTGATCATCAGAAATTTGCACTGACTTTATTGTTCCTGATGTCAACTCATTTTCCTACCAGGAGTCGGATCCAGTTCTGTGATCTTGTAAACCCAATCCACATTCCGCCAAGAGTGGGCAGAGCACTTGTTTTTTTTTTCCTGGGCCATGTGGGGGCAGGAAACTGGCTTTGATTTATTTGAGGGTTTTGTCCGTGAGCCAGAGCTTGTTTTTAAGGTGGCTTTGACATATCTGCCAGCCCATCTGGCCTTCAGTGTGTGGCGGGGGACATTCTGAAGGGGGGTGGGTGGGCGTGGAGCCCGTGTGACTCAGCAAACTTGAATGGCAGACAGTTTCTTGCTTTCTCTGCTCCCTGTGTTCTAACTAGTCCAACAGTGGCCCCGGGCCTGTCATTTTATCACTGCCAGTTCCAACCCTTGTGATTTTTTTCCTTTTTAGAAAATGGTGGTAAACTGTATTTAGCATAGGATTTACTGTTTTAACTGTTTTTAAGTACATGATTCAGTAGCATTAAGTACATTCATATTGCTGTGTAACCCTCACCACCATCCGCCTTCAGAACTATATAATTTTCCCAACTGCAACCCTGTACTTATTAAATAATTACTCCCCACTCCTCCCTTCCCTCAGTCTTTGGCAACCACTGTCCTACTTTCTGTCTCTGAATTTGACTCCTCTAAGTACCCCATGTAAGTGGAGTGGTGCAGAGTTTGTCCTTTTGTGACTGGCTTTTGTCACTTAGCATAATGTCTTCAAGGTTCATTCATGTTGTAGCCTGTGTTGGAATTTCATTCCTTTTTAAGGCTGAATAATATTCCACTGTATGTGTAGACCACAGTTTGTTATTCATTCATCCATTGGTGGACCTTCAGATTTTTTTTTTTTTTTTTTGCGGTACGCGGGTCTCTCACTGTTGTGGCCTCTCCCGTTGGGGAGCACAGGCTCCGGACGCGCAGGCTTAGCGGCCATGGCTCACGGGCCCAGCCGCTCCGCGGCATGTGGGATCTTCCCAGACCGGGGCACGAACCCGCGTCCCCTACATCGGCAGGCGGACTCTCAACCACTGTGCCACCGGGGAAGCCCGGACCTTCGGATTTTTAAATGATTGGAATGTGTCAGGAGACTTTGGAACCCTGAAGGGTAGCATAAGTGCAAAATAGTGAGGGTTATTCAGTGCTGACGGTTGCCCGTTTTGTGTTTATGGGACCAGGTAAGTCCACATGCTTTAACCTCCTTTGGGGGAAGTAAGTGGTTGGGGAAATGTTTGAAACTTAGCTGACTTAACTGTAGGACCACTGGCAAAGCTTGGCCTCGGAGCCAGACTGCCTGGCTTTTAATCCCATTTTACCATTTAATAGCTCTGGGACCTCTGCAGGTTACTTAATGTTTGTGCTTTAATTTCTTCATTTCTAAAATGGAATTGTGTATCAGTTAGTTGCTGCTGTGAAACAAACCAAACTCAGTGGCTTAATACATTTATTTAGCTCATGATTTT